CTGGGAGGGACAGGGAGAACAAGGGAGATGAAGAACACACAACAGCTTGCAAATAATGAAGTACTGTTATGCCAGGACTACCCTGGCAGTTTTTTTTTTTTTTTAGCGGTTGGTCTTGCACAGAGGTCAGTTAGCTGCCAGCGCAGCACACCCACATCCCCGATGGCGGAGCAGGAACTCGTGCCAACTGCACTAATTAATAGGACAGGCTGAGTTGGTGCCGTTCTCCCACCAGTTCCCTCCTCTGTGCCACTGCACAAGTTTACTCTCCAGTAGTTAGAACTCTTCGCCTAGAGGTTTAATCCCCCCCCCCCCCCCCCCCCCCCATCACACCACGCAGTGTTACACAAGGACGTTCACTTCTACGGTCGCTCTAGTGTCGGGTCACAGTGACGGCACGTATTTTTAGAAGTGAATTCTGCTCACAGACGAGTTAACTCGTACTTATTCTGACTAAATGAACAGCAGCTCTGTCTGTGACCCCCCCTCAGCTGACTGAGAGAGCCTCTATCCACAGAGGCACAGACCAACCAGTGTTCAGGAGGACGTCCGAAGGCAGAAGTTAATCCAAGGACATCCTCTTTATCAATGGAGGCTTTTATCAGGGGTCAGTCAACGCCATTTTGTCAGACAATGCGCCACACCGTCTGAATTATGACTTTACTCTCGCCATGGGCCGGTTTGAGCGATGGGCCTTGGATGCAGGAAATGACAGGAGAGATAAGGAGTGCAGGTAGAGATGAGTGGAGTTTAAGGTCGCTGGTCAGTTCGTTCTAGTCAGAGTGGCGACGCTTGGCACGGGGAGTTTCAATAAAGCAGCCACCGCACCACAACCGGATGGATTTTAAAGCAACTGCTTCTTCCCGATCCCCCCCACCACCCTTTTGCCGGCTGCGGTAGAGCTCTTGAAATTTTATGACACTTCCAATCTACACCGAAAGCCTTGGGCGCTCATCAGCTTTCTGCTTTAATTTGCTGTCAGGCGCCTCACGCCGGATGAAAATATGAGCCGAGCATTGATCTGGACCTCGCCCGCGCTAATGTGACGGTAGATGAATGAGCGGGCTCGGTAATCACAAAGCGCCGGACCGCGCCGCGCCCTCTGAGAGATGTAAATGCACCATTGTTCATTGTCCTAATGGTGCAGTTGATAGTCTGCACAGTTTGAGAGCTAAATAAAGAGAGGCATTTAACGGCAGAGTTGATGAAGCACCACCGAAGAAGCCACAATGTGCTCATTATTGGGCTTTCTCAAAGTGGACACTCATGCCAACTCCTTCCCTCTGGCTTCATCCTATTTGTCTGTATCCCACAAACACCCCCCTATGGCACAAGACCTGCAGCTGTCCTAGTGAGGCTGCAGACCTGCATGAGAGACTCGTTTATACCTGTGCAACGTGGCTGCATCGCCCCACGGTCAAACCTCCAGAGCTCTAAGTGCTGGTGGGATTTCCAGGCTGCGAAGGGATTGTTCCCGCATGGAAGCGTTATTTTTGTCTGGAAATTGTCCAGTTGGGTCATCAGATCAATAAAACACAGAAATGCCTGATGGTTTGGCCATTTTTCAGTCCAACAAAGCACTGAATAATGACGTTTACTGGTTAAAAACCAGTGTGGACCCCCCAGTAAAGGGCTGAGGTGGTTGAACTAACTCCCACAATCACGCCTGGTCGCATCCAAGGGCCAGCATCCATCTTTGTTTACAGGAAAAGGAAGACAAACGTTCAAAGTAAAAAAAAAAAATCAAGAGTCAAATATTCATGCAAAAGATGAACTTTCATGTTAGGATGTGTCATTTAAGATGTGGGCTGGCTACTGGGCCACTGGGATGAGTTTAAAGTGAACACATGAATATTAACTTGTCATATCTTCCTCTACAGCAGTTATGTTTTACTGTTAGTAATATTTTACCAAAGGTCATCACACCACTTAAAAGAATCATCACTAAAATCCAGAAATCCAGCTGTAAACATCTCAGAAATAAAAGATTTGACGTAACGAGTAAAGCGAGAATAGACGTCTAACGGACACGCTTCAGCGCCGACATGCAGCTGACGCACAAAGCCGAAGTCTCGTTTGGCCGCAGGTTCTTACATTCTGAGTTGTGGACATTAGACAGAGATTTTATTAAAAATCACATCAATGTTCTGGTGAACAGGGATCATCTGAGCAGCTTGCATGAGGAGGTTGGAGAACGAAGCAGCCAAACAGTCACGCTCTGCCTCTCCGCCTCCGAGGTGGAAAAGGTCAAAAGTGAATTTATCACCGATTATAATCAGTTTTTAAGCAAGAACACAATAATGCCTACTCTGGTTTAACACTGAGTATAATTTAACAGGAGGATCTGTAAGGCTAGTCACATGACTCCAGTGCATTCTGGGATTTGAAGCTTGGTTGAAACTAGACTTCATTTTTTAAACTATTGAAGCAAAAGAAACATCAACTTCACCTAAAGCTCATACAGCTCAGAAGAGACTGCTGGTGAAATGATGAATGACCCGCACCTGTATAGCGCCTCTCAGAGTAAGGACTCCAAAGCGCTTTACACTACAGTGTATCATTCATAACATTCATCAATAATTCATCATATCATTCAGACCTGTACACAAACTGGTCAAACTGGCAGTTTCCTCAGAACTGAGTTACCGTATTTCCCGGACTATAAGCCGCTACTTTTTCCCCACGCTTTGAACTGTGCGGCTTATAATGAGGTGGGGCTTTACTGAAGATTTTCCTTCACCTGCCACTAGGGGGCGCTTTAGCAGAAAGTGAAACAGGTGGAAGTCAAAAGTGGAAATGGAAGAAAGTGCTCATTTTAATTTAGCACATGCAAGCAGCCGGCACCACGAAGAATTTGTTCCAAATCCATACCCCCTCATCATGGTAACTACATGCATGAGTTCATATGATGCCACATTTAAGTTGAAGGCCATGGATCTGGCAGTAAAGGAGGGAAACGGTGCTGCCGCACGTAAGCCTGGCATGAATTAATCTGTGGTTCGGCGCTGGAGACGGCAGCGGGAAGAACTCATTCAAGCCAGCTTCACCCGGGGATGACGACAGCGACACGGACAGCGACACTGACATCGCCACAGAAACGGTTTGTGACGAAGCTCTTCTGAGGCTGTTCAACTCCGACACTGAAGAAGAGGACTTTAATGGCTTTAGAGCGCAGGAGGACGATGAGAGCGAATGACTTCTTCTGGTAGGCAAGTGTGTGTTATTTACTAACCAGGCATGTTTCGTGTGCAGTTTGTATTTTCTAATCATCCAGGGCTTATTAATGCTGTGTCAGCGCTGTTCTTTCCTTCTAAACATGCAAATTACCGGTAATAACGTGTCAGTGCTGTTTTTATTTTATAACATCCAGAAATATGAATGCTATCAGTGCTGTTTTCTTTTCTAACGTTCGCCCGTGTTTAAAATTACTTTTGTTGAATTAAAGCAACAACGAAAGACCTCCGTGTAGCGTCTTTCTGTCTAATTATCTCATGTTATGGCCGTACATGAGCTGTGCGCCGGAGACCTGCATGTGGCTGCTGCGCCGCGGCCTGTATTCGAGTGCGGCGTGTGTGTAGAAAACCTTTTTTTTGTTGGTGCGGCTTATATTGAGGTGGCTCTATAGTCCGGAAATTACGGTAGTCTGATGAGCAAACCTGATGAGGTTTACATGAGAATTCAGTCGCGGCAAAGCTGATTAGGTTGCAAACCCAAAAGTGGGAAAATCCTCAATAATCTCCAACATTAACATAACCGCATTTGAGGATCAGCACGCATTTCTAAAGGAAAATGAAAGAAAAACAGGGTTATCGCTGCAGGTTTTGTGGCCATATGACAACCAAACACCAACACGTGGGTTCTGACGGATTATCGTCCTGAAGAGAACGTTCAGCAGGAGCTGCTGCTGCATGGCACTCTTGTGATGGCAAAGGCAGGATCAAGAGAATTCAACTCCACAAAAACTTTAAACATCGATGTGTGTAAAAGTTATTTGTGTTATTATTTAGACTTCTATTATACTTTTCAAATCATAATACTGTAGAGATGTCTGGAATGATAGCAGCGCGGGAACAGGAAACAAGTAAAGATGCTAGTAGAACGTGCTAGCAGTAGCCATGTTTAAATGTAAATCACTTGCATTTCTATAGCGCCCTCTATGGTTAGGGTTAGGGTTACAACACAACCAGTCATTCACCCACCCATGCACACACACACACACACACTGATGGTGATGAGCTACGTAGCTACAGCTGCCCAGGGGCGCACTCACAGAAGGCTGCCAAGCGCGTAGATCTGTCAGCATTTTCTAATCCATCCATCTATTTTTTTTATCAGAAGCTAATGTAGGACATAGGCGTAGGAGACTATTTTCATGTTCAGCCTGCATGAAAGATCCAGAGTGACCAATTTAAATCAAGAATAATCATAAAAAATTGGGGTTTCAGTGTCCCAGACCTTTAAGGAGCAATAAAAAGTAAGCTAAAAGAAAGTCCGTGACAGTGCACAGACTGCCCCCAAACCCCATTTATAATGCCGTAGCGTTGTGAAAAGCACATGATTGCGCCACATTCGGACCACTTGTGAAAGACCAAAGGCTCCCTGACGCCGCCTCAGCTTTGCAGCAAACTGGAGGCATTGTTTTATGAAAGAGGCTAAAGAATGACCCGCCAGCACATGCAGCACACTCGAGGTGCTCAGGCTCTAAACGGGCTGCACCACCGTCTCCTTTTAACAGACCAAGAGGATTATGGGCTGGGGCTTTCCAGAGGGTTCAGTGACCCAGCAGCAGGTGGAGGCCCATTAACATAGTTTAGGGACCACCTGCTGGACAAACGCTCGCCTCTCCTTCGCGATTCACTTGAGGGGCTTCGAGCTGTGCTAATGCACCGTGCTGATAATCACTGCAATGGCTCATCAAGCACAACTGGATGGCCATCAGAGCCAGGTGGAGATCGTGTTCACATTCACGGCCATTAGTTTTACAGCCTCCCACACCAGGA